CAGAGATGGAAGAATTGCTTTCACGACGAGGTATGTTATAATTATGAAAGTGTGGTACAGGAGAACTTTCTCTTACAGGATTGCTACTAATGCTATCTCTTTGTTGATCATAAATATTTGGATTTTGAACATAATATCCTTGCTTTTCAGCACCTACATTATATTTCAGTTGATCTGGAGGACCATTATATTGCGGAAGAGCATAATCATCTACTAATGTTGGAAGTGTAGGTTGTTGGCCTTTGGTTTGACCTTTGGTATTAGCATCCAAAATACGATCTCTTCTATGTTTAGCAAGAAGTTGACCAATCCTAATTTAAAATAAGAGGTTAGTATTGAAGCAACAATAATAAATGTCGTGGCTGAAGCTGGAAACGGAAATTTTAAATACTTTAATATTTAGTTTTTTTATATATATAGTTAGCTTAGGATTTAGGATAATAAAAATGTTTAAGTGGATTTGTTAAATCGAGGTCCCTAATTTCCAGCTTCAGCCGCGACAATAAATATTAACAATAATAATATAATAAATTACCTTTTATCTATGATGTGACAACAGTATTCCTTCAAATTTCCTCGGATATGACAAAGAAGAGGAAGGTATAGAAGAAAAGAACAAAGTAAATTGATAGCAGAGAAAATGAACACTATCACAGTGAATGACATAATTGCTATCGAGGCCCTTGTGGTAATTGAACCATACACCGATATATTCATAGAGAATCTCTTGTCACGTAAAATGGTGAATACAGTTAAACCGTTGATAACCTGACGAGGGCCATCACATAACAAAAGACGTTTGTAGCCTAAAAGAAATTATACAATAGTTAATTATATACAATTAAAACTTGAACGACAAATAATTTTATATAATTTTATATAAACCTTTAAATGCAAAGAAAACATAGAAGGCAACTTTGTCTTTCCAATTTTCTCTATCCTGAATCTCCTGGAAAAAACACCAGTGAGCGTAACTCGTTAATGTGTAATACCTATAAGCGATCATATTTGTAAAGGAGAAAGAGATGTCCCTCGAATTTACGATAGTATATGCCTTTTTCATTTCCAGAAACAATAATATAAAAGACATAAGAATTGACACGACGAAAATCCATTTTGTAATTGCAAAAGAAATTGGTGGTTTAACAGTAGAAGCCCAGTTATCGTTAAGTAACAGAGCTGTCATAGAATATAAATCGGCAATATAAACCAGCACTGCTTTTAAAACGATAATGAAGACCCAAGAGTATCGTACTTTGTGAAAGCAATCATGTTGTTCGAATTCATGAACATCAACAAAGTCATATTTGTAGTCCTTAACTATCCTATCTTCCCTCTCCCTTTTCCACTTAACCATGATTCTTTTATTTTTATAAAAATGTCCAGATATTTAATTATCCAAAGCACTATAATTATTATTATTTTTTTTTTACTTTTAATAATTATATATGCTTTTCCCCTTTCTTTTTATTCGATGAATATTTAAATGTCGATTAAAAACGTGGATCCAAATTGTGACAAAATAAATAATTCATGAACAATTGTTATGAACAAAAAAAATGAAAACAAAATAGGTTTTGCAAAAAAGAAAGGGTGGTGGAATTAGAAACAAAAAAGTAGCAATTTAAATACTTTTGAAACCAGAGGCATATAAAATAAACAATAATACATATAAAAAAGTATTAGATGTACTACAGTTGTGACTTTATGCGACATAAACCGCTGAGAAAAAAAAAAGTTTTCTTTATCATTTAAAGATATATATATACATAAACTAAAAATTAAATGTATCTAATTTTTCTTGATTACCAAATCGGTTTAGTTTCTAAACAAACATTACCATATAAAGGTATCTCCTGTAATGGTCTATTACAGATCAATCTACTCTCTTGTTAATTATTGTACAACGCGTATACATAAATTGGTCTTACGGCGCACTAAATTGCAATTAACATATAACATTATTTAAACGTTAATACGTAATCCATTTTATATTATACTGTTCTTTTAACCGAAAACAAAATATGTAAAATATAAAAATATAAAAATATATTATATTAACAATTTACTTTTTTCGTAAATCAGAACCATTCCGTCAATAAATGATAGGAACGAATGATTTACCTGAATAACGGTGTAATCTACCTATAAATAACCTAGTTTTGTCTTTCTCTTTAACAATGTTATCCAAACTATTGAAATGATTACTGATATGATATAATATGATATTTAGTGTTACATTGGTTTTTTCATCGTTGAATCTGATTATCTCATATAATCGGTTTCGCTGCAATCATTTCACCGATACCAAATTGTCACGTCGTGTGATGTCGGCTAAATGACCTGTCGGTGAAATAGTTTCCGTACATGACATATTACCAAAGGTAATACAGTTTCTTGATTTTATTTGTACATATCAGCTATAGTATTTTATATTTATTCAAATGTTTGCTCTAATAAATTCATTCGATTTAAAATTTTTATTACACAGCTATACAGCGATTATATCATTTGTTGATTTGAATTCAAATTTGAAAAAAAAGAATTCCAGAAATTTCTATATATATTTATCGTACTTAGGATCGGCATAGACCCCTTTGGTTTTTTTGACATCCGTACGTCCGACATTCCGAAATTGTTTTCCACGTTATACGAAATTTTATGCCCCGCGTTCCAAGAGGGGTTTGCCTATTTTTAGAACATTTTTCACCATTGATATAAAAAGTATTTATTTTCAAACCTGAAATATTTCGCCAAGAAATAATTTCGCGGGAACGAATAATTTGGTTCAGCCCACACAATTTACATACAATCAACCCTCGTTAATATCAACCTCTTATTAAAAATAAAAATAGGCTCAGCCTATATTAAAATTTGGATTCGCCGACAGCAACTTCGCCGACAATCTCCGACCAACACTAACTATAAAGCAGGCTAACCCTAACTAAAACGGGTCAAAATTTGTCGGCGAAATGGCTGCCGGCGAAATGGTTGTCGGCGAAATTGGTTTATACTATAAAAAATTACCCCGTTGTTATCAACCTTCGTATATATCAACATAATTGTCTAATCCAAATGGGTTGATATTGACTGTAGTAATTTTACTCTTTTAAAGTCTACCAGTGTGAAATAACTTTACCCGGGCGAAATATTTCAAAACACCAGTGGAGATGCATATCGTGTTTAATTTTTTTAGAAATATTTTTAACTATGACATAACGGGATAAAGTGCAACATAGATTGCTAACATCTTTCTGCATCCCTAAAAAATTTAATTCTATCTTTTACATATTATAAATCGGTAATTTTATATAGTTAATTAATTAAATATATGGGCTATTGTCAAATAATATCAAGCGGATTAACATTATAAAACTTTTTATAGCCCATATATTTGAAATTTTTTTTAGATGATTTGATAATTAAAAAAAAGTTAAAAAGTTTAGGTCTTTTGCTTTCTCTTGACTATAAAATTACCAAAATAGTTTTAATTTTCATCATGATATGAGCTATAAAATAAGCTTTTCGATTTACGATCTTCGTGATCTTTTTGTTTTTTTTTTTTTTAAATTCCTGCGAGTAGAGTTGTAGGTGAACCCGGTAATTTGTCGTAACTATAGTTAAACTATAGTTAACCTATAGTAAGTTACGGCATAACTTACTATAGTTACGACAAGTTACATCTGCACTTATACTCATGAGTCCTGTGATTACAATATAGTATTCATTTCGACTTGGTCATATTTCGCAGGACTCATTTTAATTATTCATATACTTCCCTTTTATCGATATATAAGTTTCACAAAATACGACGAACATAAGGTGGCTACTTATGTTGTGTTCGCGGACTCACAGGACTCAAAAAAAAAAAAAATACGACCAACTAAATCGAAAAAATATTTGAGTAATAATGATATTCATTTTATACAGTCACTTAGATCTGCGCGTTATTTCGAATACGTCTATGAACGTTATTTTAAAATAACAATTCGATTTTCTAATCGTGAGGAACCTTCTCGATTGACATAATAGGCAAAAGTTTCTGCATTGGTAATTTCACGATTGACTAACATAATAAAGTTTTTGCACGTGTTAACAGTGAAGATTTTTCACGATTATCACGTGCAAATATTTATTATGAAAGTTAAGAAACATAATGAACGAGCAGAATTATTATAAAGTGCGCGTTATTTCGGAACGCGCATGGGCATTATTTCAAAACCAAATACAGGCAGACCCTCTAAATGCAACCTCCCTAAATGCACGCTCTATGAAAAGCCTTCCTAAATGCATGTCTTTTCTTGGGCCAAACTAATATAACAATTATTGATTTTTACCTTCCTAATTTGTAATATCTCTCTCTAAATGCATGTTGACTCAATTTTTGCATATGGTCCCACCACAATGCATTTAGAGAGATTCGGCTGTATATTATTTTTAGAGGGCTTAATTTCGAAATAGGGCTCATGCTTACTATTAAAATTTGGAGTTAGAACAGATATAACTAGCAAAGTGTCAATGATGTAAGGTCAATTAGTGCAACTTATTGGTTCACTTCTAGTTGCATATTGTAGATTTTTTTTTAGCAGTAATATATATTTCTTAAATTGTAGGCTAATATAGACAAATTTGTCTATGTTATTACTATAATTGACGATTCTCCAGTCAACTGAAGAATGATCATAGTGAAACGTGACGCGGTTCTATATATAAATTACTATA